CAGTTCATCGTTCGATTATTCCGTTCACGCCTTTCTTTAGCTCAAACTCTGCCATTCCGCGCCTCAAACTACACGGACAGCCACGACGACAGCTGTGAGGTGCGCCTTTGCATTTCGTCGATTCCAGCGTTGACTCTATCTCAGTCAATACACCTTCGGTCATCTCTCCTCGACAATTTGGCCGCGCCGGTTCACGTGTATGTCCTTCCAGACGTTTCTTTGCCTCCAGCGATGGCGAACTCTCAAAGTCTTTTCATCGCATGCCAGTGTCAGGCCGCTCTGATCCTGTTGCATATAGCATCTCTTGAACCGGTCGACTTTCAGTGCAAAGGGCTCGAGATTCGGCATCCGCGTCCAGATTTTTGTGCATCAAATAGTGGCGAGTTGTCTTCCTTTTCTGCACGAATTTCTGACGAGTTTCCTCCAGATGATGATCGTCATCGGAGGCTCAGACAACTCGATATTTACGCGCGTCTGGCAAGTCCTGAAGTTGAATCACGCTTGTCAACTTGGCTGATATTCACTTTTGATTCTGCAGCTCTGCGAAGTAAGTCCCCTCGTCTGCTATCTATTATAATTCAGTCTGTTCTGATTCGATCGCGGAAAGCATCCCTCAAATTCTCCGACTCCCCATTCACGCAAATCCAACTCACCGGAACCTTGTCGTTCAATGCTGGTGAGTCGTGTTCCTCTTCATCACCAGTTGCTGACTTGATCCAACAGTTGTATATTGCCGAAGTCGACAACTGGTATCGCCATACGCGGTGAGTACAACCTTGAATCCTCCAGACCGACAAACTTGGCTGAAACTCCACTCAGCGTCAGTTTACGAACTTGGCGCCAGCTCAAAGTAAGTAGTCCACTTGGGCCGCTCAAGTCCTTTCTAATCCTCTTGTCCGTGATACTTCCCAAAATTGTCGACTTCAAAACATTTCGGTGAGTTGCGTCTAGCTCAGCTCCGGCTACAAGTCAAATATTGAGTTAGTAGAGCAGGCTCGAGCGGCGGCGGCGCAGGGACTTGTAGATATTGGATGTATTGGATACAATGAATATAATATATATGGGCAATCCAGTGGACTGCAATGCAATGGGCAGGACTGCCAAATCATGTTGGATTGACTGCTCAAAGCAGTCCCAGCAACTGCTTTTGGGCAGTCCGGGTGACTGCAAAAGTGGCCAGATTCGAGTTGTACGGATTGCCTTTAGGCAGTCAACCGGATTGCCTCGGTAGTTGGGTGGATTGCTTTCGGCAGTCGTCCTGACTGCTTCCAGGCAATCAGCCGGATTGCTTTTCCTTCCCACAGTGTCTTCTCAGGCTGGTTCGTCCGTGTTGGCAGGAGCGACCTCCGCGGAAAGTCTCTCGACATCATGTGGGTGGCCCGGGGAAGGCAAGGGTAGTGCGGGCTTCTAGATGTCCCAAGTCCCTTGAGTACCGGCCACTCGGGAATCACGGCCGTGCGACCTGCGATTATCCAGGGACTACTCGCGAAGATAGGCCTGCGGCGGGCGATAAGATTTCCGGTGCGATTTTCCGGTGAGTAATTTTCCGGGACGGCGATTTAAGGCTGATAATGAAATCAAGGGACTGCCGGTCTGTCCGATAATCAACCTTGGTTCAAGGCTCGTCGGTACGGCTACTTGGCTACGAAGATCGCTGCTCGGGCTCTCAGTTGCTCGGGCTCTCGTTGAACTTCAGTCCGGTTGGAATACTTATCAAGTAGCCGCGGCTTCCGACAATCCAATGACGCCGGTGTTAATCACTCATTTTCTTGAACCACCTCCTCTGGACCGAGCCGCCGGTGATGGGAAAAAGGGATGGGGAGAACAGGTGATCATCCCGAATCCAACGGGCTTCGTGCCGCCCACTAACAGAGGGTGGGATCCATAACCTTCATTATCATGCTCGCTACGGTTCTGGCATTTTCTACAAAACTTGTGCGTTCATTTCCATTCGAGTGTGCACCGAAACCTTGCAGACAATAGGTGATTGTTTCCTCCCAGCTGACGCCTGTCGTAACTCTCCGAGGCTCCTGGTAAAAGACATCGTCCACACCATTCGAGAACCTCGCGCCTGAGTGAAACCCCTCGAATTATCACACACAATCTTTGAAGCACTGGCAGTTGAATCTACATATGCATTCAAGGGTGAGCCGGAGACGTGTCTCGAATTGACTCGGTCCACCACGTCCGCCGTCTCACCGCACAACGCCGACCCGATTGAACTCACCCAGTCCTTCTCTGCAGAGGAGATCTAGTCCGTCTATTGCAACGACCAGCATCCGTTTTACACTTGAGCCAGGACGACACGGAGCTTGTATCTAATTACCCAGAGCGACGTAAGCAGTGGCCGGTCGTTGAATTGTTCAGCTCAGTTGGGACTCGAAAAAAATTGAGAATCCAGGCACGCCGAGTTGTTCACTCTGAATCGAGCACGCGCACAGGATGCTCGCTTGCAACAAGGTCCTTTCACGCCTCACAAAACTCGGCAATTGCAACTCGACCAAGGATGCATTCAATTCGACTCGCATCGCAAACTATGTAAGATTATCGAATGGTAACTTATAAACGAAGTAAGTACGCAGTCTACGCGAGTAGCCGTTCGTATCGGCGCCACGCAGCGCGCCCACCCTCGAGGGACAAAACGACCCCTGCATGCCCGTAGGCGAAGGGGCGCAGTGTATGCCGGTATCCGACGGGGTCGGCATATACATATGTGTGCCAGGGATTTAGTGGGAAGAGGTAGGGAAAACCGCCAACGACGGCCAGACACACTGCCTACGCCGCGACGCGCAGAGCGGCCTGATGGTGATGATGATGGTGCCGCGGTATAGGGAGGGAGTGCAAGAAGGAGTGTATCCGCCCGTGCCCATGCCCATGGCGGCTAGCTTTTGAGGACGTCTTCCTTGGGGCGGAGACGAGGACTGGAGATGGGTGGTATTCGTCTATGTCCATGGGATCAGGGAAGGTCGAATGTGAGATGGGTGTGGGCGGGGAGAGGCTGCCGATACTCGAATGGGGGGAGGAGGGCTCGAGGTCGGGGCAGCCAACAGGGGAGGATGAAGATGAAGAAGAGGAAGAGGCGCGACGTAGAGGCTCCACTTTGAGGAGAGGAACGCCCTCGGCCTCAGCCGAATGGATAATGCCCTCCCGATGGGCAAGCACGTCCTCCACACTCACACCGAGCTCCCAATCCAGCACCTCGAGAAATTCCCTCTCGATCCGACCGATATCCCGCTTGCCGAATACACCCGTACACAAAGCCCAATGGACGTTACGCAGGGTGCTGTCGTTGGTGTACTTTGACGCACAGATGAGGGCACCGAGGAACACGCGTTCGAGGGCCCATTCTTCCAGTGCGATGGAGAGGTGATGGCGTGCGCGGGTGAGGTAGACGAGGGTCACGAGGACGTCGGTGGCGGAGACTTCTGCCCGGGAGATCACGGTCGTCACGAAGGTGGTGAATTTGTGGAGATGGGCAGGTGTGCGAGTAAACGACGGGGTGACGCCGGAACGTTGCAGGGAGTAGGAGACGGCAGAGGAGATGCGGGAGACGAGGTAGGCTGGATGATGTGTGTTAGCGAAAAGTGTGCCAAAAGACGAGCAGATGCGTACCGATTACAGGCTGGGAGACCTCGACGTCGACGAGCTCGAGGAGCTCGGGAGAGTGCGTGGCTGGGTCTACGAGAGAGGCAGCATGCACAGGGCTGTTAGTCTTGCTGCTGCTGGGACTCCAGGAGCTGTAAGCGCTTGAGGTGCTCGGAGACGAGCTCGACGAGGCAGAGGACGAGTCAGACGCCGGAGAGTGCATCGTTGGGACTGCGGAAGGCGAGTCGATGGGTGACTAGGACGGCCATGAGCGCTGTGTTTTATAAACGTGTACGGAAGTTTCTGAATCTGAGTCACGGCCGGAAAGAAAGGGATTATGAAGCGGTGTTTTTGTAAGCCCGCTTTTGGAATTCCGGAAGCTGCCAAGATCTGTCATCACTCTTCCTCCCGTTCGTCAGCTCTCCGCCGACGCCTTGCCACAGGATTCTCCGGTCCCATTTCCTTGCTGCAGCAGAGTATCTCTTGCAAGAACATACCCCGGAAGATGTCGGGCGAGCTCACCCGAACCGGCACGGCATGTCTCGGACAATTTGCCACGCTCAGTCAGCAACATTGACAAACCTGCGTCTCCGAGGCCTCCTCTCCCGTGTCATCTCGTTCCCGACTTGCGTGGACGTCCGCCGAATACGCAATACTCTGCTAGAACATTCGACGAACCCGAATCACTCCGTCCGACGTCGATTTCGTCGAGTCACGTCAAGTACACTGCTGCTGCTATTTGCTATTCTGCTCGCTCTGCGACTAAAGGACTATGAACCTCAGCTCCCTGTGCCGAGGCCCGACGGACATTCGAATTTCACTTCTCCGATGTCCACTCGATCGCTATCGATCTACCCATTCCCATACTTCCTTGGACCGCAATCCGGATCTGCATGTGGACGATAACCTTTTTCGGCAGATATCTTAGGCACCCAGTGGGAATCGAACCCGCTCAATTGTTGGGGTTGCCGCGACTGCTTACAGAAAGCTCGATTGGGCGCACCATCGAACCGGTATCTCAGCACGTCCATTCCGCGTCCTCAATAATTCCTTTTTTAATTTGGGTTGAATTCGGGGAATGCGTTGGCCGTTGGGTGACGAGGAGAGGGGGGCTACGCGGGCGGCGTTTGGGAGCTCTAGGACTCGTACCTAGCTAGCGATATGATATCTGCCGAGGGCGTGGGGATGGCACGGTTGAGTGATGTATGTGATGAGGGTCGCGCAGGTTCTCTTATCACTGAACTATCACTGCTAAAGATCAACTGAACTGCAAGTTACAAGGTCATTGAGCCAACAGAATGAGAATTTTCGTTGGGGTCACAGATTCGACTTGGAGGCCAGTCAGCATCGTCAAGGTGTTCGATCATGCTGATGAGGGGGGTCTCAATGCCCCCAAATGCTACCCGCCATCCATCTGTTCCGTGGCCCAGCTGGTTAAGGCGCACGACTGTTACGGATTTATCCATTCAATCGTGAGATCGAGGGTTCGATACCCTCCGGAACAGTGATGGCCGCTTTTTAGTTGATGTTGACGGCCTACTGGGTGTTGTAGCGACGTAATATTTTGAAGCAAGAGTCTGTGCGGATCACCAAGAATCATGCCGCACAGTTGGACCCTTTCCACGGCTTATCTCACCTCGGATCTCCGATACATTATTGAAATCAGGCGACGCCGTTCCGCGTGCCCGATAATATTCAAGGCAAACTCTATCACTCGGGGCGCTGGAGATCTGGGTTGTGTACCTTACGGAGTCAGTCGCTGCATATCCGTTGGTTCCGTCAAATCTGATATCCCATAGTCTTGGAGATGCACAGGCTACTGAAGGCAAGTGCAGTCCCCCGATTGGTCAGGATAGACAGGCGTTGGAGTACATCGACAACGTTGGGGTAGTCGGTCCATGTGAGGAATACCTCGGGGATCCCGTATGAAAATAAATCCACCATAGACTCTGGGCCCATGTACGCGTGTAGGTTGGCCAGAGGCACGCAGCTCACGAGGGGAGTGGGGGGAGGAGGATAGTCGAAGGAGGCGCTGACCAGACTGATCCGAGCAACCAGGGTGTGGCGTTCGAGGAAGGATTGGACGATCGGCCTGATATCGGGTGGATTGAAGCAGGTAAAGTAGGAGAGTCGGCGGAAGGTACAGTTCCGCAGGAGTTCGTGGCAAAGAGAACCGGCGAGGGGAGCATGAAACCATAATTTCTCCAGCGAGGACATGGAGTTCAGGATAACGTGTTTCTGGGCCAGCTCCCCCTTTTCTCGTGCGCTGAAACAATCATGAGGCGACAGGGGCGGACATGGAGGAACACATACGAAAGCCTGGAGCTGTCCTCCGATGCATCCACCATAAACCAGCACACGAGAGGAGCCAAGACCGGGTTCCACGACAAGGACCGGAGGAATCTTTGTAGCGCCCTATAAGATAACATCTCCATCGTGAATCGTGATTCGTAGCTTTCTTCAGGCTTCCTTGGCCGACTGGGGGAACGTATCCTTGACATCCTCTTCGACCCAGAAAGAAGCCATGCATCTATATGCAAGGTACGAATCGAACGGCGCTCACTGGCACGTCTGCGTGGACTTCGTTCGACGTGAACTCAGCCACTTGCCTGAATGAAAATCAATTTTGAACCACTGATGTACATTGCAAATATGTAAGGCTCTGAGGCGTACGTGCACATCGATATCCCGTGTTCCCAAAAAGACTGGATGGCTTCCTTCATCGTACGACGCAGACCCGGATCGAACGGCGTGCTCACTCACAGGTGCCCAGTGAGCAGAGTCTCACTGAGGCTGGTGTCTCTATATATTCATGGCAAACCCTTGACAAGATCGCTGTGCCGCCGCTTCAACCCAATCGAGTCTGGATTGAGGAACCACTTTTCATACACCCATGTTACTGACTTGAAGTTGATGTACGCTCGAGCGTACGGGCCAGAAAAGAGTGGCGTGCCATGCTTTGCAAGCTCCGATGTGTCATTTCACAAATGAGAAAAACTTTCCGGTGTTCCAACACCATGATACTTGCACAATCGAACTTCAATGTTGTTATGCAGGTCTTGGGGTAGGTGAAAAATGTGAGTCCAATGTCCTTTTTTTCAAGTTTGAAGGCCCGGATCGAACAGGCAAACCGAACTCGTTTGGACTGGGCCGCCGGGCGGCTGCCAGTATTGATATAGACGGTTGAGTGAGATAAATCATTGGGTGCCAACTACATATGCCTATCTGAACCACTCGGAAGCGGCTGTGTGCTTCACGTTTGAGAGGCGCGCCTGTCAATACTTATTGGGCTTTTGAGAAATGATACTGAACCTTAGATCTATGCATATGAGAAAAAGTCGGATACAGCAGCGTTCCAGAATTGACTGTCGTGGCACCGGTTGAAAAAAAGGTAATCACTTCGATACAGACGAATGAGCTCGGGACCCGAGTCGAACGAACCCCGCACTCTGCTCCGATGAATCATGTTACGAGCGAATACCCTGTCGGCGTATAGAGTCTTGTCTGGTGACCTGTGTAGCACGATGTACCAGGGCGGGCGGAAAACATTGTTGGGAGTTGGTTGGGAGTCAAGTCTGGTAAAAAAATGTCCTGCACTATGCACCTTTTTCATGAGGCCTCCGGAATCGAACGGGCAGACCCATGTCGCCAGCGGTAGTGCTCAGGCGATGATTGAGACTGTTGTGAATACACGGAGATCATCTGCGTTGCGTTGAAATGAAAGGGGAGCCTGATTTTCAGCGAACACCGGTTCCCATGTAGAATGGCTGGGAAATTGAGAAACCTGAATCCCGAAATGACCCCGGATTCCCATGTAAAATGGCTGGGAAATTCAGATTCTGGGATTCCGAAACGACCTGCATGATGCATCATGAATCGACTTAACTGAGCGAGGAAACCGAAAAAAAAAATGCAATCCGGTTCTGCCACAGGGAAAGGGCCCGAATCGAACGGGACAGATCCTAGCTCACCTGAGCTCACATCTTGTTACATGCAAGTAGATGTCTAAAAGCGAGCAGTGAGGTTCGGATGAGAATCGAGATAAACATGCATGGTGTGCGTACCGTGGTGGAAAAAATGCTCCGAGTAGTAAGATCGAGAAGCCGAATCGGACGGAGTGCCACCGGAGTATGGGCGATATAGTGTGCAAAAAGTATTTCCCACATCTTGCCCATTTTCCGTGTAATTTAACATACAACTTCACCTTCGGCACTACAACTTCCATCTGGTTTGCAACTTTCATGCATACAACTTGAACTCAGGCAACTACAACTTGAACCCTAGGAAACTACAACTTGCAGCTCTCGGTTTGCATGTTCAAAAATGGGGAGTACAACTTGGAATCTTGCATACGCAACTTGCCCCTGATGCAACTACAACTTCTAGTTATCAGGTTGCAGCTTGGTCCAGATCTCAACAACAAACTTGAGGAACAGTGGATACTAAGATAGATTTCCGCCCTCTGCTGCCTGTGTTCAAACAGGGAATATTCTCTGAGTGGGGATTATATTCTGATAAGTACAGGGGAGTTCAAAATAGAGAGAATATAGGGAGAATAAGTATACCGGTACTGGCCCTGCACTAAAATCCGCTGAGAAGGATCGAACAAAGCAGTGATCATACTTCATAACTGCCTATGGCCGCATACATGAGGTGCGGGTCGTTGTTTGACTCTCCGCCGGTGACCCGTGGTGAGCAATATTAGCAGCCGGAGTTGAAATTCCTACCAAACCCCGAGCTATTCCTTGCATTTGAAGTTGATACGGCATCACCAATCACACGGAATGGAGGGACAAATAGCGAACGTTCACTCACCGTGGGAGAATGGATGGGCAGCAAACTCAAATGGAACTCTCAATGGCGGTCTTCGCGTGATAGTACCAGACGGAAAAAACTGAACAATAATAAGTATTGAATAGCGTGAATTTGCATTTGCAGTTCATTTCCTAACTATGGGTCGTGATTCCGAACCGAGAATGCCTAGTGCCCATGGTGCAAGACCCCCTAAGCTATCTACGAGTTGAGCCGCCAGAAGGCTATCAATCGCGGGTATTGGATCGGGGGCCCCGCCGACGATCTTGCCACCGGGTCCCATCCTTCTTACGGAGAGGACACCGGCCAGCCCCTTCCTCCACTTGATGAACTCGCCAACGACCCGCTCGCAGGGGATCATACGGAGTCTGGCGGATGATGGTCATTGGGGTATAGATGTGTATTGCACCGCCGTGCTCATGGCCACCGAATACTTCACGGCCAGCCCTCAATCCGAATAGAAGAGTATCTAGTAATTCATTCGATGCATAGAGAGCAGTCTAGCTATTCAAGCTCTCTTTTCTGTGCCTCATACACTGCCGAGGCTCTCCGTCCCGCCAGCATCAGTACACCGGAATCATTCGGAGTCTCCGGAATCCCCTGGGAGCATGCTAGTACTGGGCCAACCATACATATACTAAGTCATGATCAGAAGTTGCAAGCCACCCAATTTAAGTTGTGACACTGAATGTCGGAGTTGCAAATCATCCAGAGGGAGGTTGTCTGCACACTTTTGATAGTTGTGCTTCTTCACTTCCCAGTTGTATTTCAACCAGGTTGCAGGAAGGCTAGCTGTCTTGCTGCAAATGGGAGTTGTTGTTCAGAAGTTGTAGTTGCAAACTTGTAAAACCCAAGTTGTAATTGAATTTTGAGCTGAAGTTGCAAAAACTTTTTGCACAATATATCTGCCATACCGGAGTCCCAAGCTGGTGCCAGGCACTCTCTGTGCGAAAGGTTCCTGCATTTTCACATGTTATCTCGAACAACCCGACTTTGAGACCCAGAGGAGAGGCGTCATCTTACCAGAAAACACAATTGCAAAAAAAAAAACCGATCTCTCTTGAAACTCTCTGCCGAATGCACTACGGACCCGACTCGAACGGGGGCCTTGCCTTGCCAGCAACCCAGCGCTGTGCACAGTAAAGTATACTTGAGTCTTAGATTGTGTCTGGTGTTTCGAGTCAAAGCACCGCACACTGGAACCTGAGACGTCAACTTTCGCATTGATACTTACTAGCACGGCGGGCAAAAGCCAGCGAAGGTCAAAGAAGCCTTCCTTTAAAGAAGGTTTCTTTGACATGGACAATCCGTCATTGTAACTTGGTTTTTGAGATGCCGTTGATCCGGAGGTTTGAATTCCGTACAAGTCCATCACATGAAGTACAAAATGGAATTATTTTGACTAGTTGTGTGACAAAGCCGTGCATTCGCCGTCACCCCGGATCAACGGCATGTCAAAGAACAAGGCACGGTCAGGGAATGCCCATGTCAAAGAAACCTTCTTTAAAGGAAGGCTTCTTTGACCTTCGCTGGCTTTTGCCCGCCGTGTAGGTGCGAGCTAAGTCCAGCAAAAGATGTATGTAGCTCTTCTATGAAGGAGACCCGGATCGAACGGCAAAGGTGACTCCCACTTTTGTAAATACTCCGGCCAGGAACGTAGCGATGTATCATGTCGCCGATGTGCCCAGTGAAG